CGCCGATTTCGAGCGAGAATTGAGACGAAAGAGAAAGAACCCAGAACGTAGCGAATCAAGTGAAAGCTCCGAGTCCATTTCTGAATTTGAAGAAGAGGAACCCAAGACAACAGTGGGTGAAGAAGACATGGCAGCGGACAACCGAACAATTAAAGAGCTTTCCGCCTTAGGATTGGCCAATGCCGCACCATTATGCATTCAATACCCCGCGGCTAACCACGGCAAGACCGATGAATTCGAGTTGAAGTCAAGCTTGTTGCACCACATTCCGAAATACCATGGGCTTTCCATGGAAGATCCCAACAAGCATCTCAAGGAGTTCGAGGTTGTTTGTTCGAGCATGACACCCATAAATGTCGACGGGAACATTCTGATGATGAAGGTTTTTCCATTCTCACTTATGGACAAGGCCAAAGATTGGCTCTACGAACTAGCCCCGGGAACTGTGACTTCGTGGGAGAGTATGAAGCGTGCTTTCTTGGAGAAATTCTTCCCTACTTCGAGAGTGATTCTCCTACGGAAGAAAATTAGTGGTATTCAACAGAATCATGGTGAGACATTCCCGGCTTATTATGAGCGCTTCAAGGGCCTTGTAGCTTCATGTCCTCAACATCAAATGAAGGAGGAACTTCTCCTTCAATATTTCTATGAGGGCCTCCTTCCTATCGAACGTCAAATGCTTGATGCATCAGCGGGAGGAGCATTGGTGGACAAAACACCAAGGGATGCCAAGATTCTCATAGCCAACCGAGCGCTCAACGCTCAACAATATGAAGGAGTGGGCCAAAGGGAAGCCCCACGGCAACAAAGTGTAAATGAGGTGAGTGCTATTTCTGAAATTCAATCACAACTTGCTAATCTTACTTCTCTTGTTTCTCAGGTTGTGATTGGTCCAAAAGCACAAGAACACCAAGTTTGTGGCGTGTGCTCAATTCAAGGGCATCCATCCGACAAGTGCCCTCAACTAATCGAGAATGGTGGGTGGGAATCTGCCAATGCAATTGGTTTCCAAGGACAAAATCAAAACAACCCATACTCGAACACTTACAATGCCGGATGGAGGGACCATCCAAACTTCAAATGGAGGGAGCCACAACAAGCTGCCCAACAAGGAGGATTTAGGCCAAACCCCCCTGGTTTTTATTCCAAGCCGTATGCACCCCAACAACCCCAACAACCCCAACAACCTTCGGCATCATCTCATTCAGGTACGTCCTTGGAAAGTGATCAAGCTATGTAATTACTAACCTCTATTTCGCAGGGGTTGCAAAATCAAAACAACCGGATAGCAAATAACGAGAAGGAGATGATGGATATGAAGAAACAAATAGGGCAGATTTCTGAGTTCCTTGGACAGATTAGAGAGCAAGGAAAGCTTCCTAGCTCAACCACAGTCAATCCAAAGGGAGGATTCGAATCCGCCAAGGCCATCACCCTAAGGGGTGGAAAAGAAGTTGGGACCGAACCAAACAATCCCAAATCTGCCCAGAAAGTAGATGAAGAGACGACACAACCTGAGGAAGTGTCTAGCTCACCCACGGCAAGGGTGAAAAACCCAATGCCGCAGGCCCCCAATCACCCTAACTCGGCCAAATCAGGTAATTTAAGTTCAAATTCATGTATGTCACGTCCTAATCTGCCCAATGTACCTTTTCCTCGCAGGTTCATGCAAGAAAAAAAGGAAGAAAGCGAGAAGGACATTCTTCAAACGTTCTGGAAGGTGCAAGTGAACATACCGCTTCTCGATGCAATCAAACAGGTTCCAAAGTATGCTAAATTCCTCAAGGACCTATGCAATACAAAGAGAAGAAGGGCAAACAAAGAGGTGGTGAAGGTAAGCGAGAATGTGTCCGCTGTTTTGCAACGTAAACTGCCTACCAAGTGCAAAGACCCCGGTAGTTTCACGATTCCTTGTGTGATTGGACATAATCGTTTTGAACATGCCATGCTTGATTTAGGTGCATCCATAAATGTCATGCCTTATTCTATTTATGCATCTATGAATTTGGGTGAATTAAAACAAGATGGTGTAATTATACAATTGGCCGATCGTTCTAACGCGTATCCAAAAGGAGTTTTGGAAGATGTGCTTGTGCAGGTGAACCATTTAATTTTTCCGGCTGATTTCTACGTCCTAGACATGGAGGATTCAGCCCATTCTACATCTTTGCCGATTCTCCTTGGTAGGCCATTCATGAAGACGGCCCGAATGAAGATTGATGTATACAAAGGCACCTTGACAATGGAATTCGATGGGGAAGTGATTGATTTTAATATTTCTGAAACTATGAGATATCCCGTTGATGACCATTCTTGTTTTTCCATTGATGTTATCGATTCTTTGGCACAGGTATACCTTGAAGAATTGAACGAGGACGCCCTGGAAACAACCATCATTAAGGCCATAGAGTGCAAAAATGAAGGATTTGGGCCAATGCAAGGCCACGGCAAGGAGGAGGAATTCTTTGCCATGGGTTCTAGTGAAGAAATAATTGAGGTTGTGGCAGCCCTTGAGTCATTGCCACAACAATATGGTAAGGTTCCACTCTCACTTTCAAATTCAGTTTCCACTAAGATGCTACCTTCTGTTGTTCAGGCACCATCGCTTGAACTTAAGCCGTTGCCGGAGCATTTGAAGTATGTGTTTTTGGGAGAAGGCGAAACATTGCCCGTCATCATTTCATCAAGTCTCACGGCAATGGAGGAGGAGAAGTTTGTGAGGGTGCTACGAGAACACAAAACGGCCATAGGGTGGACTTTGGCCGACATTAAAGGAATAAGCCCTACCACATGCATGCACCGTATACTTCTCGAGGAGGGGACTAAGCCATCCCGAGAGGCTCAACGCCGTCTCAACCCTCCGATGATGGAAGTGGTGAAGAAGGAAATAATCAAGCTTTTGGATTGCGGAGTGATCTACCCTATCTCCGATAGCCGTTGGGTCTCTCCAGTTCAAGTCGTTCCCAAGAAGTCCGGAGTAACTGTTATCAAGAATGATGAGAATGAGCTCGTGCCTACACGCATTCAGACTGGATGGCGAGTATGTATCGATTACCGGAAGCTAAATGCCATGACTAGGAAAGATCATTTTCCTTTGCCATTCATCGACCAGATGCTCGAAAGGTTAGCCGGTCATGCTTTTTACTGTTTTCTTGATGGATACTCTGGATATAACCAAATTGTGATAGCCCCGGATGATCAAGAGAAGACCACATTCACATGTCCCTTTGGAACATTTGCTTATCGTCGCATGCCATTTGGCTTATGCAACGCACCGGCCACTTTCCAAAGGTGTATGGTAAGTATATTTTCCGATTTTGTTGAAAAGATCATTGAGGTTTTCATGGATGATTTCAGTGTGTTTGGGAGTTCATTTGATAATTGCTTGGATAATCTGACCTTAATTTTGAAACGATGTGTTGAAACTAACCTTGTCTTGAATTGGGAGAAATGTCACTTTATGGTGAAACAAGGTATAGTTTTAGGACATATTGTTTCAGAAAAAGGAATTGAAGTAGATAAATCGAAAATAGACCTTGTACGTCACTTACCCTCTTCTACTTCGGTTAGAGAGGTACGTTCGTTTCTTGGCCATGCAGGGTTCTATAGGCGTTTTATCAAGGACTTCTCCAAGATGTCCAACCCTCTTTGCCGATTGCTTCAAAAAGATGTGCCATTCAAGTTTGATGAAGAGTGTAATTCGGCATTTAACCAACTCAAGGAGAAGCTAGTCTCGGCCCCCATTATTGTACCTCCAGATTGGAGCCTTCCGTTCGAGCTCATGTGCGATGCATCCGACTATGCATTAGGAGCTGTTCTAGGACAAAGAAGAGACAAGCGGCCGCATGTCATATACTATGCCTCTCGAACTCTCAATGATGCCCAATTGAACTACTCCACGACGGAAAAAGAACTTCTAGCTGTGGTTTTTGCTTTAGATAAATTCCGTTCATATTTAATTGGTACTAAAGTAATCGTTTATTCTGATCATGCAGCTTTGAGGTACTTGCTCACGAAAAAGGAAGCAAAGCCGAGGCTTATCCGTTGGATTCTTCTTCTTCAAGAATTTGATATTGAAATCCGGGATAAGAAAGGAAGCGAGAATGTAGTGGCTGACCATTTAAGCCGAATGATCCACGAGGAGCATGAACATGCCGTACCTATCCCTGAAACTTTTCCCGATGAGTAGCTGCTATCCATTGAGGTAAGTGAACCATGGTATGCAGATTTAGTGAATTACTTGGTGGCTAAACAATTTCCAAATGAACTAAACAAGCACCAACGTGATAAGCTTAAAAATGATGCACGTTTCTATGTTTGGGATGACCCTTATTTGTGGAAGTATTGCTCAGATCAAATTGTACGTAGATGTGTGCATGATTCTGAATTTTACTCAATTCTAAGCTTTTGTCACACATATGCATGTGGTGGTCATTTTGGCACACAACGCACTGCCCTCAAGGTTCTAGAGTGTGGTTTTTATTGGCCGACTATATTTAGGGATGCTAGAAAGCAATGGACAAGGAAACTTTAATTTACTGGCTTATGGTTGTTACTTAAATGTAGTTCATAACTTAACAAACATTTGATAAGGTGGTCTTGAATATTGTTTACAATGAAAGTTTAGACGACGATGTGTGGTGGTGTTGCGAAAATCAATGTTCAATGTACACTGGGCAATTTAGTTGTCTAAAGGATGGTGGAGGGAAGGGGGCTTTGAAAATTATGATAGGGATATGCATATAAGGCTTGATGCATATAAAACTTTAGAATCTCAGGGATGCTGTCTAACCGCGTAATTTGGCTGCTCTTAGCAATTCAAAGTTGTTACTCACACTGTATTTAGCTGAGGAACGTTTATGCTGTTATTTTGTATAACGTACCAGAGAAGTGAATCCTAATATTTAATTAGTTGTTTCTAGAGATAGAGTTCATTTCTTTTGTCCTATTTACTTTTTGTCATGTTTTAGTTCTGACTAAGAGCTTCTGTGATATTTCAGATTTTTATATCTAGAGAAGGAGTGAATAAAAAGTATGCATCAGTCTTGGCCCCGGGTCATCATGAAGGATTAGGGTAAGAGGATAGACATTGAATTTGGAAACCATCTTCTGAAATAATTATAATTTCTTTTCACTGAATGATAAATTTATGATACGTATTACAATTCCGCATGGTTTTTACATTTGGTGACTGCAAGTCAAGACGAAGCTTGTGGGTTCATATGTAATATTGAGACTCAATATCTTTCTTTTGTGGCATCAAGAGGAGTATGAGAAGTCTCTCTAACTGGCAAGTGAATGCTAGGCAGATGCTGCTTGGGTACCTGGTCCCTGATAGATTTGGTGGCGTGCTTTGAGACACTTCTCTTGGAACATTATGAGTATCAAAGTTTGTAGAGAATAAGAAATTATTGAAGCGACAAGGACCAATAGACTTGATTGGTTGGACTATCCAAGCCCTTTACCATGAGCTTAAGCCCATAGTCAGAGTGCAGCTAGTTTGTATATTCAGAAGGTGTCTTATTTCTATTGGGACTAGATGCACATCAGTTTTCAGTTTGTTTATAGCTAGAATTTTGATGAATAGTGCATTCACTTGGTTTTACTATTTTTGGTAGCTCTATATTTGACTATAGTAGTTGAAATACCCTGATTATTGACATCCCAATTTAATTTGACTGTTTTCACAGAAAAGCTGATGATCAGGGTATATCATCATGGGGCTGGAACCTGGGTGGCCAGCATTCCACATACCATGCACTATTTCCAAGGGCATGGACCATATATGATGGTATCATTCTTCTTTCTTTCCTGTTAGCCATTGGTCCTGTAACTTGCCCTTTAAGCTGCTGTTTTAATTCGGGTAGTTTTATGTATAAATTTAGGTGAACCTGACCCAGAAGTGAAAATTTCATGCCGGCAAATATCACCATTCATCCCTCATAATTATAGAGAAAGCAGTCTTCCTACAGCTGTTTTTGTTTACACGGTAATCTCATTCAACTTGATACCAGGTATATTTAGATGAAAAAGATCGTCGTTTTCATAACCTCTTTCTGTCTTAGACAAGTGTGAACGTAAGGATCTTACACAAGAATTTCAATATAATTGTCTATCATTTGGTTTGTTTATAAGAGTCTTCTTTCTGATATAGTTGGTGAACACTGGAAAAGAAAGAGCGAAAGTCAACCTTCTATTTACATGGGCGGTAAGGTTATATGTTTTGCTTTCGGAATGGTTTCCAAGCAATTCAAAGATTCTTGGATATTTAGTAATTTATGCTTTTCTCGGTGTAGAATTCAATAGGAGGAATCTCACACTTGTCGGGCAATCATGTGAATGAACCATTTATGTGAGTAAATTTAGTGGGTGTTGTATGATTTGTTGCCTACTATAGTGGCAGCATGTATTTAACATATTCCGACTTCTTTTTCTTTGACAGTGGCGAAGATGGAGTCTCTGGTGTACTTCTGCATCACAAGCAAGTCGTCAAACCTTATTACATTTATTTGATGGTTGGTTTGCAGATTTTTCTGCTGGCAGTGTCATATTAGGCCAGACAAAGTGTTCAAACAACCCCCTCCTCTTTTATCAAGGCATATAATGCCCCAAACAGGTGAAAGAAGTCAACCATGAGGAAAAATGAGATGCTTCTGCGTCAACTTACAAACTTAAAATTCCTTGTCAAAATACCAGGAAATGAATGACATGGTAAAAACAAAGAAGTATGGACAGATATCACAGGAGCGTTTAAGCAGAAATGTTAAAAAAAAATTAAATAGATTAATCGTCTGATGCTAAAAGTAAAACATATTCCCTTACATATGGAATTGATATTTAAATACTAATTCTTGCCCTTTCGGGTCCCTTGTTCTCCTATTTTTACAATTAGTAATTCTTGTCCGGTCATCAACGATAAGTTTTGTGGCCAAGTTGTAACTGTTACTTGGGTCTCTGCATTTGTTAACATTGAAAGTGTCTTCTTGTGAGCACCTTATTCGATGCCCATTCTTATTTTTGTTCAAACATAGGGATTTTTATTTTTATTTTACAAAAATTCTGTTTTCACCTTGTCTTGTTTCGTTCAAACTAATGAGCTTTATATTCTTATGGTTCTTGGTAACCTGAACCAAAAAAAAAAAAAAGTTATCAGTATGTGATTTTGGGAGTTGTTGTCATTCACTATTTTAAAACTTGTTAATTCTTGACAGTATATTTAAACTGTGTTTAACAACTGTGCTTATGTTGCAGGACTGCAAAAGGGAACCCTCCTGTTACTTTTGCAATAGCTGCATGTGAAACTCAAAATGTAAGCGTGAGTGTGTTGCCATGTTTTGGGTTATCTGAAGGAAGTGCCACTATGGCCAAAGAAATGTGGGATAAAATGGTGCAGGTATTATTTCTGTGGTTTGCTTTCTCAATTCAGTGTACCTTGTTTTTTGTTGTCTAACCTAATGCTATGTGCCTCATTTTTCTATTACCCAAATCCATTGTCTGTTCTATCCAGCAAATGCTGTCATTCAGCAACCTGGTTGATCAAATTCAACTTTTGAAAATAGTCCTACTTAGATTTTGACATGGTGTTCCTTCCATTGTTTTACAAGAGTGATTGTTTTTCCTTTTCTAAATCCGAGCCTTATCTTTTTAGGATGGAGAATTTCATCGTGATAATTTCAATTCTGGACCATGCATGTCTTCATCACCTGGCGAAACAATCTGTGCTGCAGTAGCAGCTTCTGCTTGGGTGGAACCTCATGGGAAGTGCACTGTTGCATTTGGCCTATCATGGTCATCTCCAAAAGTAAAATTTTTGAAGGGAAGCTCATACCATAGGTAAGCTTATTGTAAATCTTCTTTTTCCTGTTTTCTGCATCGGTGTTTTAGTAATTTACAGACGAAAAGCTACTTCAAAAGTTGGATGCAGACAATCCACTATGCATATTTTGCAGTACTGTACTTAGATGATTTACAAATGAATGGATTTAAGAATATTGTAATCTAGAAAGTGGCAGCAACACTAGTGAGGTGCATTATTGGTTATTGAATTTTGTAATTTTTCTGTAGGAGGTACACAAAATTCTATGGGACCTCTGAAAGGGCAGCTCAGGACATGGTGCATGATGCGCTGACAAGTTTGTTTCTCTCTTTTTCTATTGTGACCTTTTCATCAAAATACTAATATGTTGACATTCACTAGATTTAGTTTTCCGCTTACTGTTTCTTGTTTAACAATTGTTGCGGTATATGTGATGAGTCCTGATCAGTTTTGAAATCTGGACAGATTATAAGCGATGGGAAGAAGATATTGAAAGGTGGCAAAACCCTATCCTCAGGGACGAAACATTACCAGAATGGTAAGAATGGAAGCATTATACTGTGGTTGCTCTTTGTTAAATCAGAATGTCCCATCAGATAATATATTGGTTTCCTAAGTTGGTGAAACTGCCTTAAAGTACCCAGCAGTAGAATCTGAGCTTATGAATCTGAAGTGAAGAGCAATCACAGCGCAGTTGTTGAGCACACTGCAACTGGTTGCCAAAGGAGTGTAAAGTTGGACCCACAAAATGCCAATGAAGAGGTTGGGAGGTTCCTTTATCTGGAAGGAGTGGAATATATCATGTGGAACACATACGACGTACACTTCTATGCATCATTTGCCCTTCTTGAGCTGTTTCCCAAAATTGAACTTAATATTCAAAGGGACTTTGCAAAAGCTGTCTTATCAGAAGATGGAAGAAAAGTAAAGTTTCTGGCTGAGGGTAACTGGGGAATTCGTAAGGTTAGAGGAGCTGTCCCTCATGATCTGGGAACACACGATCCTTGGAACGAAATGAATGCATATAATATTCATGATACTAGTAAGTGGAAGGATTTGAACCCGAAGTTTGTACTTCAAGTGTATAGAGATTTTTCTGCATCGGGGGATATGTCATTTGGAGTTGATGTTTGGCCTGCTGTTCGTGCTGCAATGGAGTACATGGAACAATTCGACCGGGACAATGATGGACTCATTGAGAACGATGGTTTCCCTGATCAGACCTACGATGCTTGGACAGTTCATGGAGTAAGTGCTTATTGTGGGTGCTTGTGGCTTGCTGCACTTCAAGCTGCAGCAGCAATGGCCTTTCAACTAGGCGACAAGGAATTTGCTGAATGGTGCAAAACCAAATTTTTAAAGGCAAAACCATCTTTTGAGGAAAAATTGTGGAACGGCTCTTATTTTAGTTACGATAGTGGGTCCAGTAGTAACAGTAAGTCCATACAAGCAGATCAACTGGCTGGGCAGTGGTATACCGCATCCTCTGGTTTACCCTCACTTTTTGATGATTTTAAAATCGAAAGCTCTCTGCAGAAAATCTATGATTTCAATGTCATGAAAGTTAAAGGAGGCAGAATGGGTGCTGTAAACGGAATGCATCCCAGTGGGAAGGTGGATGAGTCTTGCATGCAGTCACGTGAAATATGGACTGGTGTCACATATGGGGTGGCTGCTACGATGATTCTTGCTGGAAAGGAGAAAGAGGCATTCACTACTGCTGAAGGTATTTTTATTGCTGGCTGGTCTGAAGAGGGCTTTGGGTAAGTAGACATATACCTCCATTATTTAGAGTAATCAATTGTTGATGTGATTTTACTCTTGTTCATGTCATGTGCTAGATGTGAAAAGTATAGAATCTTACAGAGAAAGCTTTAGACAGGAAGAAAACTCTTTGACTGAAAATACATGTATTTCTCATTAAACAATAATTAGTTATACACTTGGTATTTATAGTGTCAACAGAACTAGCACTTTACACATATACCCTTAGTAATACTAACAATTACATTTGAGAATAACAACTATACAGAGAAGAAACTAACAGTACAAGTATATTAGATTGCTCTTTAATAATGGTGATCATTGAAAATCTCGTAGTTTCTAGTTTTTAAGTTGTTTTTTCCTCTGGCAAATTAAGTTGTCCAGCCAAACTATAGTAATGCTCTGCTGTTTAGTTATCATTTTTTCTTCCTGAAAACATAAGATGTCTGGAAAGGACCCGTCGAAAGCATAAGTTGCTCTGTTGTTTAGTTATTCAGCATCACGTCTCCCTGGACTTTCGTGGCGGAGAAATATTATCTCAAATTTTGTCATATTTTTAATGGTCATTTTTTGTTGTCATATTTTGGCGTTAACAAAGTTAATTTTCTGTTAAACTACCTTTAGATACTGGTTCCAGACGCCTGAAGGATGGACGATGGATGGGCACTTCAGATCTCTAATATATATGAGGCCACTATCGATTTGGGGGATGCAATTCGCCTTGAATCTGCCCAAGGCAGTTCTCGAGGCTCCTCAGATCAACATAATGGACAGAATACATTTATCGTCTGTCAGCTCACAATCCTCTCACAACGAAACAGGTGTGAGAAAGATTGCAACCAAGGCAAAATGCTTTGGGAATTCAGTTTTTAACTGTGCATGCTGATATTGTAAGATGTAAATTGATCGTGTTGTAAAGAAGTGTATAGTGAAATCTTCGCTTCCCCATACCCTCCCGATGTGAGGTAATATAAGTTGGGAGAGGTTTCGGGGGGAAGTCTTGAAGAAATAGCCAAATAGGTATTTGTAGATCAGTCTTTCTTTGTAATCTGAATCCTGGCATGTAAATTGGAAGACAGTATCGAAATAATGTTGTTGTGTTGGGTAGATGAATAGAAAAAAAGAAACCTCTTTCGAGGGGTGGTTTTTGGTGCTCGTGAACGGATTCGAATCCAACTAGCTAGTGTTGGCGACAGTGTTAAAATGGTGTAGACTTGGTTGTTTTTGCATTATGTTCAGGCATCTAATTCTGAGACTTCCCAAGGCATACAGCTTAAGCTTTGGTTCAAGGTTTGCCAAAGCTCCAGAGACTTCCCAATGTAAGGCTCAACCGCAATTGGTATTGGTGGTAATTTACCAATATTCTATTGTACTCTAAGGTACCTTATACTTCTGTGTTTTTAGTCGTTAGATTTTTGATAATTATGTCTTTTATAAATCTAATGGCTAAAAATTTTGGAGCATACTAGAAAATCTTGTTATTTTTTCTATTGGAAATAATATCAGTGGCTAGAAATTGCCAGGTTCCCAATATCTCCTTTATCCACTTAACCCGTGAGATAACACGGGGGCTTTAATTATTGCATGTGTGTATAGTCAGTACAACACGGGGGCCTTAATGAAAAAAAAAATTCTTAATTTTTGGTAATAAAAAATTATATAATAACTGTATTTAATAAAATAAACTTAAAACTTTAACAAAATGCTTTGGGAATGCTTTGGGAAACAGGTGTGAGAAAGATTGCAACCAAGGCAAAATGCTTTGGGAATTCAGTTTTTAACTGTGCATGCTGATATTGTAAGATGTAAATTGATTGTATTGTAAAGAAGTGTATAGTGAAATCTTCGCTTCCCCATACCCTCCCGATGTGAGGTAATACAAGTTGGGAGAGGTTTCGGGGGGAAGTCTTGAAGAAATAGCCAAATAGGTAATAAAAAATTAAAAAAAAAAAAAAAGAGTTGTATTTCATTTACATGGTATTTGTAGATCAGTCTTTCTTTGTAATCTGAATCCTGGCATGTAAATTGGAAGACAGGATCGAAATAATGTTGTTGTGTTGCGTAGATGAATAGAAAAAAAAGAAACCTCTTTCGAGGGGTGGTTTTTGGTGCCCGTGAATGGATTCGAATCCAACTAGCTAGTGTTGGCGACAGTGTTAAAATGGTGTAGACTTGGTTGTTTTTGCATTATGTTCAGGCATCTAATTCTGAGACTTCCCAAGACATACAGCTTAAGCTTTGGTTCAAGGTTTGCCAAAGCTCCAGAGACTTACCAATGTAAGGCTCAACCGCAATTGGTATTGGTGGTAATTGACCAATATTCTATTGTACTCCAAGGTGCCTTGTACTTCTGTGTTTTTAGTCGTTATATTTTTGATAATTATGTCTTTTATAAATCTAATGGCTAAAAATTTTGGAGCATACTAGAAAATCTGGTTATTTTTTCTATTGGAAATAATATCAGTGGCTAGAAATTGCCAGGTTCCCAATATCTGCTTTATCCACTTAACCCGTGGGATAACACGGGGGCTTTAATTATTGCATGTTGATGGCTACTAAGTAAGCACACAAATTAAAACCCTCTTGTGACAATTGTAGTATATAAATAAGTAGGGATCGTTCTTAACCGGGGATTAGGAGGGATTGCAAAATCACTTGGAAACTGACTCAAAAATGTAAAATAAAGTTTGAAATACTAAACTAGACTCAAAGAATGCAAAACTAACAATAAAAACACTCAAACAAATCAAAAGACTCAAAGAACACAAAACACTTATAAACACAAATTAAAACACTTTCTAACTAAATTAGACACTAAGGTAAAGGGGGATTGTGGTTTTGACGAAAATAAATTAAATGCACAAATCGTAATTTAAAGGCAGAATTTAAATATGAATGTGATGAAAATATGGATGAATGCTAGCTAGAAGGTTCTTCTCCACACATGTCACACTTGCATACAATTTGATTTTCAGTTGGTCTTTCGATAAATTATGAAACTCAACGCCCCAAGTTAACTGTGAATTGCACTAATTAACCATCAGTTTTTCCACAAGTTATTAAGTTGGATGATTGCATACGACAACCCAAAACATTCCCTACAAGTTCCCTACATGAATTGCATAATAGAGATACAAGCAAGAATCATTAAGTTCTATGAAAAACATAAGCATTGACGAAGCATTCGTTACTATGAATTGCATGAAACTTATGCTAAGAATTCATTCAACGCGATCGTTTTCAAGCGACCTTCACTACTTGTGATTATAAGATTGTAACTATTAGGTGAAACTCCCTCATAATCTAGCATCATATTCATGCATGAAAACTAAGCGTGCACTCTCAATCAACATACACAAATAAGTTATCACTCAAATAGATGAACGAATTGAATCCACAACTTATGAAATTCCAACCAAAAGTAATCAATTCATATTGCAAGCATAAACATGGTTTCGAATCACCCCCTAGCTAACTAGGGGGATTTAGCCTCTCATGTTCACAACAAGAAAAATAAAATTGAATTTAAACATAAAGAACAAAGGATGGATTACACCTAGAACGCCCAACGAATCCACTTGAATTTCTGCGCGTCTAAATCCTCTTTCCTCTTCTCCTTGCTGCGACAGTTTGGTTATGGGTGGTTTTTGGATGATTTTCTGGGTTAGGGATAGATTTAAGGTGGTTTAGGGATGCGGCAAGGCTATGGGGTGGTGTGTGAAGGTTTGTATGGTGGTGGAAAGTGTAGGAAAAGCTGCGGCTGATTTGGAATTGGCTGGACAGTTTTTGGGGAGAATAATGGGATGCTATGGCTGCGGCTGTGTGGGTTTTTGATAGGAAGAATGGCGGCTGTTTTTTTTGTATTAGGTTTAATATGGAGGAATAAAGGTGTCAATGGGTGCTGAATGAATTAGGGTGAGAATTCATGGGGGGGGGGGGGCCACGGGCAGCATGTTATTAGAAAAATAATGGGATTTGCGGCTGCTGGGTTTAGGGAAGTCACGGCTGAAAAATATATGGGATGTCAAGGTGGCTGCGTGAGATGGATGAAAAGGTGGAAGTCGGCTTGGTTGTAATTTAGGGTAAATGATGAATGACATTTGCGGGATGGAATGTTTTTTTTAGATGTATTAGGTTGAATGGATGCTACGGATGTGGGGGGAATTGAGGGAATAAAAGAAAATGGCTGAATTAGAATGGGGGAATAGAGAATAATGTGCGGCTAGGTTGTAAAAATGTGTAGGGTTTTAGAAAATAAACCCTAGCTTATTTAAAATTAAATCAAAGGCTTACGAAAATAGGAAATTAAAACATAAATATAAAGGTGCGGCTAGGAAGGGAAATAGGGCTAAGGCCTTGGTTTTGTGTCCTAAAGTGCATACGAGGCCTATAAAGTGGCTAGAAAATATGGACGTTTAGAATTAGGAAAGGTTACCAAAACGGGAAACTTAGGGTCAACTTTCCTAAAATAGGAAGCCTTGTTTGAGTAGGATTCTTCGTTTTGGTAAGAATTCATCGTTGGCGTAGGAATTCGTCATTTCTTCAAGTCTTCAACTCATTCATTCCTCTTTCGCTCCAAAAGACTCCAATTTGCATCTTCTTGCACACTTTGGCCTTATAATCTGAAAATACACAAAAGTGGCCTTAAACACTAAAACAACTAAGTAAACACAACATAAATGCACGAGAACAAGCTAATTAAGTCGCATGAATATGCTCCTATCACATGTGTGTATAGTCAGTACAACGCGGGGGCCTTAATGAAAAAAAAAAATTCTTAATTTTTGTTAATAAAAAATTATATAATAACTTTATTTAATAAAATAAACTTAAAACTTTAACCAAAAACACTTAAACTTTAATAAAAATGACTTAAACTTTAATGAAAATACCAAAAATTTAATATAATAAAAATAAAGAAAAAAAAAAACTACTGATGTAAAAGTACTAATATACCCTATTTTAAACCCTATATCGAATTATAGCCACCATTTTAGTTTTATGATAATTCTAACCAAAACTTGCCAATTTTGCATAATTAAGCAGTAGGGATGTTCTGACAAAAAAAAGGCAGTAGGACACATCAGCCTTTTCAAATTGTCCAAGAAACAATGGTATGGTTGGTCAATTGTAGCTTCCAATTCCTAAATCAACTTTTTGATATTTCATATCATGGTTTTAGTCAAAACTTTAATGATTTTCATGTTCCAATGCAGGTGAATATATTATGAATCCTTCGACAAATCAACAACTTTAATGATTCAGTTCCTGATTCATTTTATGTTTAGTTTACTGGGTTATCTTCAGTTTTCACGTTCTCTGATTACATTTGAATATCTATATCTACTCTATATCTATATACATATACATACATACATATATATATATATATATAGATAAAAAATTAAAAAAAAAAAGTGTAGGAAATGGAGAGGTTCGAGATTAGGGGTACTGGGTAGTATTCAAGATCTCAACTAATTGTTGTTTTTTCATGGTTAAGAGTAATGGGGAATTTTTTGTCATTAAGGGTATATTAGTACTTTTACATTAAGTTTTGGTTAGAATTATCATAAAACTAAAATGGTGGCTATAATTCTATATAAAGTCTAAAATATGGTTATTTTCCCAAAATTCCCCTATTTCTTATACTGAACATTAACTATTTTTTAAACTGAACACTAATACTATTACTATTTCTTAAATAGAACAGTGACTATTTCTAGAATTGAATATGAATACTATCACTTTTTTCTAAACTGAACACCAACTATTTCTAGAACTGAACACCGTCTATTTCTTAAACTAAACATGGGTATTATCACTATTTCTTAGACTGAATATTGATACTATTTATTTCTTAAATTGAACACTAATTATTTTTTAAACTGAAAACTGACTATTTCTAAAATCCACGTCAAAAAGCCACCTTGTTTATGCTTGGTTGGTTACATCCCACGTTGAAGCAATGAAATGTGGGGCGATGTTCTTTATTCGATTGTACCCCTAAATCATTACATTCCAAG